TGCCCACCTCACTTATCTGGAATCTTCAGACTCAGACAGTCTCCTGAAAGGTGGGAAAAATAGGTTTGAATAACATAAGGATGAAAAGAGGATTGAGACTCGCATGTGTTCCCTGGAGCAGTTTTCTCAGCACTGAGCTGTAAATGTGGATAAGAATTTTTCCGTCTTTGGCCATAGCCTAGAAGCTTACGTGTCTGTGACTGTATCTTGGAGGAAGGAGGGTGCTTTTTTTTTTTTTTTTGTCACATCTGAGCAGGTTAAGAATAGTTACAGAATTAGGTCCTGCTGAGGATTTAAGAATCAATTCCTGTTCTCTGGATCCTGGTGGTACTCACAAATGAGCTATTTACCTGGGGCTAACCAAGATGGTTCAGAGGTAGTTTTGACAATGTCGAGAGCACTTCCGTGCAAAAAACCACCAGTTTCATATTTGAGTTTACCATTCTCAGTGTGTTCCAATGTTGAAGATAGATGCTTAGAGTCTATCTATACCTTATTTGTGAGAGTACCACAGAACTTACCATAGTTTCCATGTTTATGTTCCAGAATTTTTAAAGCAGTGGTTACTATGATTTGTTGAATAAAAAGTGACTATGAAAATAAATGCACCCTTCATTAAATTTAATTATTCCAGTTCTTTGCTTATTCCAGCAAATCCAAAACACTCTGATATCTGTTAAATTGATATTGTAAAAGAACAGCTGTAGTGTTAGAGTGTATAAACATTAGAGTATTATCTTTGAAATAGTTTGAAATGAGGTCATATGCTTTCAGTTGAAGACTTCTTGCTGTTTTGTGTTTAGGTCAATCGAATCCTAAAAGTTGCAAAACCCAATATTGTGGTGATGAAGCTGCTAGCAGGAGGCCACAAGAAAGACTCTAAGGTAAGGAAATGCCAGCTGAATTGAATGTAAAATATAGTATTATATACATTAAGGTTAGACTCAATGATCTTTTCTAATCTGAATGATCCTGCAATTCTATGCAAAGCCACCACAGATCTCTTGGGAGCCAAATGAACAGATTCAAGCCACAGTTACTCTGACTGTTAAAAGAACAGGGAAAATAAAATTAATTAATTGGAAATAGTTTGTTGTTTTATTTAAATATGGAAAACTCTAATCTCTAAATGTTTTGAGAAAAAAATGCATGTGGGACAACACAGAGAAATATGGATATTCTTCAAGAGCAGGAACAGTATTTGGTAGCACTTGTATCAGCAGCTTTTGCGAACAAAATTGTGAGAGTCCTGGCTGTCAGGCATAGTGGATGCCACTGCGTGGGTCAGAGGGAAGAGGGGGCCTTCAGCCTTCCTGCTGAAGGGAAGGCACAGAAGGATGAAGGAACACATTGAAGAGGCACACCAGCATTCTACAACTTTGTGACCATCACTGCTGAATAATGATTGACATATTCAGAAATGGGTTGGAGTATTTTTCGGATGATAATTTAAAGAGCTAGGACTATTTATTTTTCAGTCTTCGGCTGGTTTTTTTTTCTGTCTGCAGGGTATTCTCATTGTGAGTACTGTTGTGTAATGTTTAACCCTTTTCTTTCTAGGTTCCTCCAGAATTTGATTTCTCTCCTCATAAATACTTTCCAGTTGTGAAACTTGTTTGAAGGACAAGAAATTATTTTTAGAATACCTGAAGATACCTGTGTAGCAGATACCAGCTGTAAGAGGGAATATCTAGACTTGCACTCAGACTGCAAGGGACCTCCAGGATACAAAGTACTGTTACATGGAGTATGTGTAGTCAGCTGTCTTCATTTGATCTGAATGACAGCTGTTGTTTTAAAGTGGCTTGTATAAAATTTAATGCATTTTATGCGTGAAGCTGATTTTAATCAACTGTATTGTTGAAGAATGTTATACTTTTAATTGATTTTATTACAGACTTAATCATAATTTTTATTAATGTGTTCTGAAAGAAAATGGTTTAGGGACTGAATAAAAATCATGCAAAGTTCTCATTCAGCAAAATCACTTAGAGAGATTGTGAGTTTCCATATTTTTGTCTAAATTGTATCAAAATTGCTCACTTTGCAAGTAGAGAGAAGGAGTTTTTTTTTCCTCCCCACGTCCTGCAAATTAAAACAATCTTTCCAGAAATCAAGGGCAGATGAAAACTAGTCATTTAGCTCCTACTGCACTGAATTCAGTGATTTTTTTTTTTTGTTTTTTTTCGGTTTGGGGATTTGGCTTCTTTTTTTGTGTGTATTTCTTTGGGAGGGGTTGTTTTGTTTGGGTTTTTGTTTTGGTTTTTTAGTTGCGGTTTTTGTTGGGTTTTTTTTGTTTGTTTTTGGTTTTGTGGGTTTTGGGGTGTGGGTTTTGGTTTGGCTTGTGGGGGGAGGGTTGTTTTACCAAAGTCATTTTTTTTCTTAGAAGCAATTTGTCTGAAATGTAGAAGATGCCTTTGAAGACAGGGAGAAATGGAGTGATTCCTAGTTGGAGTTTGTTCCTTCATCTTTTTTCTCATGGTACTGGAGAATCTGCCCAGTAAACACTGCAATAGTGACTAGCGATAGCGCCAGACACTGAGGGGTATTTTTACTCTGCAACTTTGTTCCAATCATGTTACTTGCCTTGCAAAGGAGAGATTGCTACTTTGTTACATCAGTTAAATTACCTATTTTCCCCACTTTTGACTGTAGTGGGACTGCTGGATCCTACTGTGTGCTGTAGTGATTGACAGAGATATATATCCAAAACAGGAAAGGCTCCAAACCTCCCCTTTCCTTCCTGGAATAGTTCTGCCTCCCCTGCTTTCAGAGGTAAGCTGTTGTGTTGAGCAACGTCCTACTACAAGAGGGGAAAAAATGTTCAAAAAGCTGACTTTTTCTTTGATAAATCCCTACTAAAGGCCAAACCATACCTAGGCTATATAAGCAAATCGTTTGCTGGACAGGACAATTCTTATTTTGGTGTAAAATTACTTCCTCTGTAGGGTTGAGCTTTTAATTCCTTCTTGACCATGAAAGACCCTTTTTTGTGCTTTGCTCTATCACCTAATTTTACTGTAGAGTAATATCACTGCATCTGCATATCCTGAGCAGCAGCACTGCTGAGCTAGAGCTTGAAAAGAATGAGGAACCTCTGAAGTGGAACTCCCACTTGTCTTCCAGCAATTTGCAGCTTCTTGAAATAAGCAGAAGTACTACCCTGAAGATGAGATTTTCCCAATTTCTCTGCTAAGGATATCACATTACTTGTTTATCATCATGGTTACTATACATGAATGCTTCTGTATAGTTGCCAAAGGAATAAAAAGCCTTAGAATATGTAGATATAAAATGGCACTGAGAATGCATCTGGTTTCTTGTTATCAGTGTAAAAAATCTCCTCTTGTAAGGACAGTTTTTGGTATTTCTCCAAAGCAAGCAGCAGGTAAAGCAGAACTACATCACTTACCATAGAATCACACAGGTTGGAAAAGATCATCAAGTCCAACCCTTGATCTGCTACCACTGTGGTTACTAGACCATGGCACTCAGTCCCACATCAGTCTCATCTTAAAAACCTCCAGGGACTGTGAATCTACCACTTCCCTGAGCAGCCCATTCCAGTGCCTGATTATGCTCTCTGTAAAGAATATCCAATCTAAAACTCCCCTGGCAGAGCTTAAGAACATGCCCTCTTGTCTTACTGATAGTTGCCTGGGAGAAGAGACTGAAGTCCACCTGGCTACAACCTCCTTTCAGGGAGTTGTAGAGAGTGATGAGGTCTCCCCTGAGCCTCCTCTTCTCCAGACTAAACAACCCCAGCTCCTTCAACCTCTCCTCATAGGACTGACTTATGCCTGAGTCCCTTCACCAGCCTGCTTACTCTTCCTTGGACCTGCTCCCGCACCTCAATGTCCTTCCTGAACTGAGGGGCCCAGAACTGGACACAGCACTCCAGCTGTGGCCTCACCAGTGCTGAGTACAGGGGAAGGATCACTTCCCTGCTCCTGCTGGCCACACCATTCCTGATCCAGGCCAGGATGCCATTGGCCTTCTTGGCCACCTGGGCACACTGCTGGCTCATGTTCAGCTTCCTGTCAATCCAAACTCCCAGGTCCCTTTCTGCCTGGCTGCTCTCCAGCCACTCTGTGCCCAGCCTGTAGCGCTGCAGGGGTTGTTGTGGCCAAAGTGCAGGACCCAGCCCTTGCTCTTGTTAAACATCGTCCTGTTGGAATCAGCCCAACTCTCCAGTCTGTCCAGGTCCCTCTGCAGAGCCCTCCTACCTTCCAGCTGATCGACACTCCCCCCAGCTTGGTGTCATCTGCAAATTTACTGATGGTGGACTCAATCCCCTCATCTAAATCATAATAAAGATGTTAAACAGGACTGGGCCCAGCACTGATCCCTGGGGACACCACTGGTGACCGGCCCCCAGCTGGATGCAGCCCCGTTCACCAGCACTCTCTGGGCCCGGCCCTCCAGCCAGTTCTTAACCCAGCACAGAGTGCCCCTGTCCAAGCCCTGGGCTGCAGCTTTTCCAGGAGTGTGCTGTGGGAGACAGTGTCAAAGGCTTTGCTGAAGTCCAGACAGACACATCCACAGCCTTCCCCTCATCCACCAGGTGGGTCAGCTGATCATAAAAGGAGACCAGGTTGGTCAGACAGGACTTGCTGTTCCTAAACCTGTCCTGGCTGGGTCTGATCCTTTTTCAATCTTGTAGGTGCTGTGTGATTGCACCTAGGATAATCTGCCCCATAACCTTGCCAGGCACCAAGGTGAAGCTGACAGGCCTGGAGTTTCCTGGGTTCTCCTTGCAGCTCCTTTTGTGGATGGGCGTGACATTTGCCATGTCTGGGAACTCCCCAGTGAGCCAGGACTGTTGGTAAATGATAGCAGCTTGGCAAGCTTTTCCCCTAGCTCTCTTATCACCCTAGGATGGATCCCATCTGGTTTCATAGACTTCAGAGGATTACGGAACTAAGAAAACAGCAATAATCATCCTTCCCATTTTCACTAAAATTAGAACAGGATGTACTGTACAAAATAAGGCAAATACACACTAGACAAGATTATTTTAATTTTAAAATGCTTACTTAAAAGGACTCAGGCTTAGTTTAAAAAAAAAATCAAGGATTTAATTTAATGCCAAGATGATCACAGAAAAGAAGTAATGTCACCCTAGTTATATTCCTGTAGCACTTGAAGCCATTGCAAATAAAATCATAGTCCTTCATGCTTTTGAACATTGCTTTTATGCAGGTTTTCACAGGTTTACAAGTGTGCCTGGTACAAAGGTGGTCTTGTTTATGGAGGACAGTGTCCCAGTGGCTTGGAGGAACCCCAAAATGTACAGAAATACAGCTAAAACAATTTTAAAAAAGAAGTCTCTGGCAATATACTAATTACTCTAAGTAGTTTTTCTTTGGGATTTTTAACTTGATAATGGTAAAGCTATTAATTCAACTTGAATACAGTGTTTGTGTGTTTTTCACTCGTAGAACATACGCTTTTTAACAATCAGTATCAAATTCCTGATCAACTTAATCTGAGAGGCATAACTGTTTACAGATAAAGTCCTGTGAAAACGCTGAGAAGATGGGTAATTTAGCCAGAATATGGGTAAACATTTTGATGTTAAAACATGCCATTATTTGCAACAAAAGAAAAATCCCAATAATCCAAGTTTCCCAGTACCAGAACAGATGCTCGTACATCTTCTCTTCTGCTTACAAGCATTTGTTTTTCCCTGCTGTGTTGACTGTAGTAGCCCAGACCAGTTAAGTCTGACTTAGATGGTGAAAAACTCAGTGAACTGTTTCTATGTTTAGGCCTAATAGGCTCCATTTGACTTAAGCTCTGACCTTCACTTGATGAGAACTAATACTTTTTTCATACACAAAAGAGTCAACCTTCCACTTGCATATTTAGGTATCTTAAGGTTCAGAAGTTGTAAAGCAGTATACTGAGGAATGACACATCACAAAAGGAGTTAGTTACAAAATGAAAGGGAAAGTAAAGGCAAATTTATATATTCTGAAATGGAATTGCTGGTTGGCAAGTTAGTCATGGCTGTCTGCTGTTTCAGAGGTTGGTTCATGCTCAAAAAATTGCTCTAAACACAAGATGTTGGTCTTGGGCACAGACACAAATACAAAAATTCTCCAAAACAGCTGGCAACATTCAGTAAAAGGTGTCCTAGTGGTAAGTAGGGGATATTTCTAGCTTACTGCGAGTAAACTGTTTTCTAGTTTACACTGAACAAATGACAGAAAAGACAAGACACGAACATTGACAAGATGATAGATTGTGAATAACACAGGACTTTACAAGGACTACAGCTGCACCTGTAGGAATCACTGCCAGGTCTTCTAAATGCTTAGTCTGGTTTACCTCCTTCAAAAGTCCAGCACAGAAGAATATTCATGGTGAACAGCGGAGATGATTGCTGTTCTACAAGGCAAGCGTTTGCCTTCCTATGTTTCAGCAGAAGATAGTGGCTGGGTGGAGTAAAGGGTGCTTGTGGCACACCATCGCAGAGGACTTCTGTCATGGAAAGTTTGTGAGTTTGAATTTTTATGCTAAACTTGTGCAAGGTAATGGTAACTGAATCATACTGTAGTACTGAACTTGTGAACAAGAGTCCACAAAGCTTTGAGAAAAATCTTCCTGGGTAATCTCTGAAAAATAAGGCACTATTGTCAGAATTGTTTTGAATTTTTTTTAACCTCCAAGTTTAGACCTCATCCAGACAGTGTAAACTGGAAATTTAATTCAGAAGGCCCAGGTAAAATATATCATTCTGCTTTCCGAGTATATTTGTGTTGCAGTAAAGAAGTGCTAGAATAGGCACAAGAGTAGATTGCAGCATAGACTGTTTTTCATCCTTCCCATGTTCGGTGGCTTAGCTCCTCTTAAGTTCCTAAAACAAGGCTGGGTATTTCTCTGTTGTGCATTGATCAGGGGAGAGATCCATCCTTGGCAGAGGACTGTTCCTTATGTACCCACAATCCACATATACCACTACTGCAGTAAGACTATCCAACTTCAAAGTTACTACATGTATTGCTAGTTGATTTCAATTTTATAATCTGTAGGAAGGAGAGAGTCAGTGCAGAGGTCAACTGCTTTAACCTCTAAAGAGATTTCAGATTACTTTTTTCCCACTGAAAACAGTACTAAAACTTCACAAGAAGATACTACTTCCTTTGGGCCCTTATTCAAGCATTGAGAAGGTAATCAGAACATTCTCAGATCCCTTTGCTCTCATCATTACTGCATTTAGATGAAGAGGTGACTAAGTTGCATCATGAACCTCATCTGTTCACAACTTCTGTCGTCCTTCACCAAGGTCAGATAAGTGGTTCTTCATATCTTCAGGGTTTTGAACTAATGAGGATAAAAAAGGTACAGAAATCTCTTTTAAGAGGTAGAAGTAATAGTTCTTCATAAAGAAAGTTCTTCTATGTAGAAAACAACAGGAGAAATTTTGTAAAGACTATTAAATACTGTATACTACAGTAAAGTTACAGATATCACAGCCCCATGCCCCCCATTAAAGAGTAGCTTCAGTGATGCTATACAGAAAATAAATCACACTATCAACATGAGGGAAAGCTCAAAGAACAAACAGAAATTAGCTAGGTATATCTTACTACAGAATACCATGCAAAAAAACATCTTAAAATTTTCAGCACATGGTATTTGGCTTTAAATAGTTTTTCTCTTTTTTTACCATTTTCAATCCCTGCAAGTGCTGCTTGCTTGTCTGTTTCTGATTCAGCTTCATTCTCATCTAAATTGTAATCAACATCCTTGTCCTGGTTCATTGCTTCATGTTCCTGTTTGTCTGAAAAAAGTTTAAAATGAAGTAGTTTTATGCTATACCATAAGGTCATTGCACAGAGAAACAGTGACTGTAATCATCTTCCATGTAATTTACTTTGCTGCTGAATGAACTGCTGTTCAGAGTAGGTTTTCATATTATTTTTCATTTTGAAGTGTTAAATTTCAGAGCAACTTTTGCTGTAAACCTTGTCTAAAGAACCAGATAAAAGCCAGAATCTTTTGGGATTTGGAAAATGCAGTGAAGTTCAGCCAGCACTCAGACAGAAAGAAAAGGCACTGAACAATTTCAGAATACATTAAAGGACAGCCTAAGGAAGAGCAAAACCTGCAACCAGTGCTGCAAACTTGACTGTGATGTTGCTTTTAAATGTATTGCCACTACCACTAAAACGTCTCAGCTTCTGTCCTTCTTGTTTTAGTTTGTCCAGCAAGGGAAAAGCTGTGAAGGTAGCATAAGAAAGAGAGTATTTTGATGTGCTAGCCTGACACACCTCTTCTTTCCTAGAAGAGATTTTTCTTCACTTGGTCATTAACTCATCTCAAGCAACTTTTATTGACTATCTTCAGATTTCTTTAGATAGAGCACTCAAAAGTAAATGGAAACATTACTTCTGATTGCCAAACTACTATCCTTATTTTTCAAGTAATCAGCCAGAAAAAAATGTAACAGCAGAGAGGTATAAGCATATCCCACAAGAGGTATAAACATACTCCCCTCAAGATAGATTAGAGCTTCTGGTTCAAAATATTCTTAAGCCAAGCCCTGCAGTTAGTAAGGCGCTTAGAAACAGGCTTGAAAATTTAAGCTTTAAGCCATATTCAGACCGCCACATCAAATAGACTTTTATAGTTACAGACCTAAAGCTGTCAAACTTTCAGAAGCAGCTCTTTCTGGAAGACAGAGGATGCACAGAGAATACTGAAGAAGTATTTCTTAGGGCTCCTTTGGCTACAAGGAGCCTGTGCAGTAAGTATGGTATTTTTGTTGAACAATCAGCCTCAAGAACATACTGCTAGTCTTTTTTGCTCACAGAAATGCAGACCTTTCACAGGTTGCATGGTAGAGCTTTTCCTTCCACTAACTGTTGGATGATTTTTTAACCTAATCTTTTTGCTATTTATTTCTGTTAAAATGGCAGCAGTTTAGGTAACTTTTAATTACATCTCTTTGGGGTGCAGCCTGCTCTGGCCAGCATCTTTTTGGACAGTTGGAAAAATACTAGTTTATGCTGTTAGTTTATCAGGGACTTTTTATCCCTGCCACTTTAGCAACAATGTTAACACTCAGACAGCTCATAACTCACAATTCTAAGAATGTCTTTACTAGAAAACCATAAACAGCATTTTTTGTGGGCATCAATTCCTGCGCTGACTGCCATAAGGTTTCCTCTTTTGGTTACTCTGGCCTACTGAGTCCACCTGAGACCAAATCCCTCAAGACAGAGAGCTGTCTAGATACTGGTCAGGTTTAGCTACAACATCAGTACTCTGCTGCTCCATGCCATGGAGATGTGGTTCAAGGCCACATGGTAGATGCCGGAAACCAGCACCTTTACAACATCTGATCCATGACTTTGCAGACTCACAACCATAAACTTCAGATACTTGAAGTCTTAGAGTTTTAGTCACGTATCTTATTTTGAAATACAGATAGCTAGCATTAGCATTTGCACTGTAAAAAGACTAACTGCAAAAGATCCATGCATAACTCTCTACTCATCAATGGTTAATATCTCATCCTTTTCAAACGCATCATATTCTTAAGAAGCCCCAGTACCAAAACATTTGGGGGCTAATTTCCCCAAATGCCTTGTACAGCCTAATGGAGAGAAAGCCATTAAGGCTGTTGTGGAGATGCAGAGGAGCCCAGCCTGATAGCTCCATGTTGCACTAACAGAAACCTCTGTCCACCCATGGACTGCAGGAGACCGCTGTTGACTGACACCTTTCATGTATCACACCGACCTTTGTGAAAACTTGTACTCAAGTCTGGCCAGCTGCCACTGCTGTTGCAGAAATCATGCCCTAGTTCACAGTTTCATTTCTTTACTGTTCTTATCAATACTGTTCTTAACATGCTACGAACCGGCCTTTCCTGGGGACAAGTCATCCTGCTTAGCATCGTAATTTAGGAGCTGTTCCCTCTCAATTTCCTCACTGGCAGCCTGCTCTGGTGCTGGCTGTAACGCGTCTTGCCCAGCTGCATGTTTTTTATTTTCAGATGGATTTGGCTCCTTCTCTGATTCAGGTAGCATCTCCTTGTGACCTGCAGCAGCTTTGAAGGAGTCTTGTGGTTTTTTCAATTGACTAAAAAGCTGCTCCTCTTCTGCCTTAGGCTCCTGTTTTCTGATGTCAGCTGGGCCATCTATTCTTTCTGAAAACAACAAAAATTATTCTGAGTGAAAAAAATAATGCCTCTCAGTGGTGGCACAAGTTAAAAAGCTTTAATAAATAATGCTTTATATTTCTCATTCAATTCTTGTTTTTCCTCTGAAATAATATCTTTCAACCACCTCAGTTCCAAAGATAAAAAGAAAATAATTCATGTTTTTCCTACCGGGAACAGCTAAAGGAGGAGACTTTGTTTACTGTCATCAGATTCATGCTTCTACATCCTTAAAATTTTGGGGTGTGTGGTTAATAACTTGGGAAAGTGAAATGAAGCAGTTTAAATAAAAATTGCAGTGTGCTATATAAACGTGAGGTTTCTGTGTGTCGCATTTTGTTACAAACAATAAAACTGATTTGGTATTTAAAAGTAGCTCAGGACAAAGCAGTCACACAGGCACCTTGCAAGTAAACCACAGCTGCTCTTATTCTTAAATATGAAGAGGAAGTGCAGGAATGTTGTCATTTTTGGCAAACATTAACTTATCTTTTTCCCTGTGTATCTGCATTTTTAACTAAAAAAAAGATAAAATTTGCCCAAATAAACTGTATGTAAATGTTGTCTTCAGTTGCTAGCTCTCTAAAATGGGAGTTGCATGTGGACAAGATTGTAATTTAAGATAGCATGTAAGAATAACTAAATAGGGAATCAAATTTTTATTACACTACTGTGCAAGATGGACACCTAAAGAAACATTCATTCAAATTAACAGTTTCTGAAGTTTAGTACTAAAAGTAACCATTAGGTTAACTAACCAGATCTCCTCTGTATTACTTTCTTTACTTGCATTTTGCTCAGTCACAAGTGGGAAGCATGTATGTGTGTTTGTTTTAAGCCTAACTTTCAGCTATTCCATAGGGAGGAGTAGCAGGCTGGATGTGTCAAACTTAGTAAACAGGCAGATTTTAAGTGTGCTTGAAAATCACTCCTTCCAAAAGTGTAGGGTATTTTCTCTATATTAAAAGAGAAATATGACTCCAAAATTGTAAATATTTGTATTTTCCTTTATATGCAACATGTCAATTACAACAAAACCGAACCAGTAGAAATGCTAGCAATAAAAATGCTTCAGTAGTGCCTCTCCAAGACTGGAAAACTAAAATTAAAATTCCGACTTTTGGTGTCACTTTTTTCCATCTTGATCTTGTGCACATAAAAGTTTTTAAATGTTCAATTAAATTGCAACTGTTCTTAACCAGTTGTTAGTAAGACAGTGATTTCCATCTCACCTTTAGCCTGCATCAAGTCTGCCTGTCTTAGTGTAGGTACTACTTTAGGTACATCTTCACTGGGTTTCTGCTGTTCCAAGTCAGCATGCTTGACCTCGGTTTGCTTCAAGGCTGGCAGCTGAATATTGACCTATAAAGTGAATGTACACAAGATAAGCATTGGTCTATGTAACTGCTCCTGGATTTGGAAGGGGAAGTGGAACACGGGTAAGAATTCAGTGGGGGGAAAAAAATCCCAACACAGTTGGAAATATTTGCACTGAAATGTTTTATTGGGGATGGAAGTACCACACACGTAACAGCATGACACGTCCGAAGAGTTTTAACAGCCCTTCTTTAACTGCAGGTAAGAACGAGCTTACTGCTGTCGATTACTCTCCGAGTGTCACAGACCTGTAACAGCCCACATTTATCCACTGTTACCCTGCTACTGTGTCAGGCTCAGCAGAGAAAAAAAACCAGATGGCATTAACTACTATTAGTAATCTATTGGGCAGGAAAACTGTGGTTGGACATAATAAAACTTCAGTTAAGTAAGGCTTGTATGAAACTGCTCTGTAACTATGTTAAATGCAGGATTAAGAAAAAAATGTAAATTAACCAACTAGACAATGGTACCTGTTTAACATAATAGGGCTTGCTTAAGATTGTATTCGGTTCTGGCAGTAGACTGTTCTCACCATCTGAACCACTGAAGACTAAGGCTATGATATACACGATCTTGAAGATCTTCCAATTTAGCAATTAAAATTCCATGTACTACTTTTACTCACATTGGCATTGGCCTTCCTCACATGGCTATGGTCTCCCTGTATGTCAGTGCTGGCCTGTTTGCATACCTGAGGCCCCCTTCCATCTCCTCCCCATCCCTAGATCTCCTGGTTGACAGTCCTGTGCTTGGTGGTGTCTCCATCAGTGGATCCACTTATCTACAGCACAGGGAACTGGGAGCTTGAGGGTGCCATTAAGAGAGTGAGTCCTCATATGTTTTCCACAGCAATAAAATTACCACCTCTCTCCATAAATGACTCCCAGATTATCTGAATAAAGTGTTTTGGCAGGGGGCCGAGGGAGGGGAGTTTGTTTGTTTGTATTAAATTTGTTTGTTTCAATATCATTATAATTATTATGGCTTTGGTTGTTGTCATTTATGGTTATTAAGTTTCTACAAAATTTTTGCATTTGCTTTACTACCTCTGAGTCAGGCACCATCCTTCTGCCACCTCCTACCCTGATGGCTCTGTTGTGTGTCTAACACTGGCTCAGAAGGATCTCTGTAACAAAACAGGATGTCCTCAGTGGATTACTTTCAGCCTGGGCTCTTCCTCCAAAGAGGTTTGAGGAACTGCAGCACTGAAATTCTGTTTCCTCTATGTGTTTAGGACTGAAAAGCTCAGACGTTTTGAGAAACATAGGATTTGACTAACAATTCACCATTAGTTCTTGATGAAAATGAAAGACAGTCAGTGAACTGAGGGATGTACCCTGGGCTTTCACACAGTGAAAACACCCATCCTCTAGGACGGGAATCTGGAGCTGTAGAGAATGGTGATTGTCCAGCCACAGCACATTTCTAGGGTTGAATGGAGGTCAAAGAGGTTTAAAAAGATGGGGTGGCCATGGTTCTCCTAATGCAACCCCATACACTGTTGACTTTGCACCACTGGCTCATGAGGCATCCCTTGTAGCACCCAGGCTCTCCTCTTCACAGTCACTACTCAAGCAGTCAGAACCCTGCCTGAGCTGACATACAGGGTTATTCTTCCCCCTACTGTCATCTCAGAAACACCAAATGAGAGTGCAAACCCAGGAACCAGTGGGGAAAGAGCAGAGTTGAGCTGTTTGTAGAGGAATTTATGAGAAGGATCAGAGAGAAAGACTTGGGAGGAAAAAGAAGTAAAAAGGAAAGTTAAGCTCTGGTATGGTGAGGCCTGCTTGGGGTTACCTGCCTGGCAGCCCTGCATCAGTACCTGCAGCAGGACAAAGAAGCCACAGTTGATTGCTCTAAACTGCTGTCTGTTTACTTTCACAGTCATGGGAATCTGATGCTCTCCCAACTATTATCGCTCTCTACAACTCCCTGGAAAGGAGGCTGCACCAAGGTGGGCAGTGGCTTCTTCTCCCAGGTAACAAGTGACAGGACCACAGGAAATGGCCCCAAGTTGCATCAGAGGAAGTTTAGACGGGATATTAGGAAGAATTTCTTCACTGAAGGAGTGTCCTTGGAAATGCACCGTTTCCCATAGATCATAAAGATTCAACAAATGTTGAAGCAGAACAAAATTTAATGAGCTGGGCTAATGTTAGTTGGAGACAGCAGAAAGGTAGAGGAATACTTAAAAATTGCAAAGAAAAAATATTTTCAAGAAATTATCCAAACAATACCTGGCTATATTTTTTTGAATCTTCTGAGAACTCTTTGTTTTCTTTGATTTGTGGTACATCACTGCCTTTTTTTGTAAGTTCATCTATCCTTTCTTCACATTGTTCTTTTAATTCTTTCATCTGGTTGATGCACTGTGACCTGTAGAAAACACAAATAAGACAGTTAACTTTCATCCACATCTTCTGAAATGTTCTTTTGTAAAAATATTTAATTTTTTTTTAACATGTTATTATTTTCTTAGTTCTATTATCTAAGCTTACATTTGAGAAGTCAGTAGGGAAAAGTGTTAACCTACGTCCTAAGGACAATATCATAGTGCAAGTGGTCCAAGTTCTATTGGGAGAAATTATTTTAAACTGCTTTTGTCTGACCAGCTCAACAAGCTACATGATGTTTTTGTGTGTGTGTGTGTCTTCCACTAACCACTCATTTTCAGTTAAGTTAAAGTAATTTTGATCCTTGAAGCATTTCTAGTATGATAACAGAAATTCATGCTTTGATTTTAGCCAAGAAGAGGAAAACAGTGAAGTACTAGTTGAAATAAAAACCAGGTTGTGATCTACTGTTAGCAAACTGAACACCCTTTCTCAATATTGCAGCAAAGTGCAGCACTGCAAGACATACTTTACAGAAATGGAGTTCATCAGTAGCTATTGCAAGTTCCAAAAGGATATTTCCTAAAGATGCAAGCATAGTGTATCTTGTACACACTTTTAATATTTACACAGAGCCATTAACATCTTAACCTTTGTGACAGCAAGGGTCTTCCGTTTGCATTTCTGCATCCTGCCTTTCCCTTACAGCTCCGTCCCTCCAAGGTAAGTCCTGGGCTGTTGCCGCAGTGTTTTTTCCTAAAGCTGCAAGGGCACTCTTTTCCCTTTCTGTGGTTGTGCTGGAGATACTGCACAAAGCCCAGGAGTGTTGTCTATGTCAGAGTCTCGGGGAAGTGCTGTAATTCGAGCCAAGACCACCCTTTCTCCACCGTTCTCTTCATAACTTGTTTTGTAACTTTCCGCTTATATTAGAGGAAGAACAAGACCAAGACCTAGTGAGTAACAAAGCATATAAGTATTACCCTGTAACACACAGACAGAAGGCTTATAAACTAGCCATGATATGACCCCAAGTATGCTTTGATCACACTGTGAAGAAGAGCAAGCAGTAGTGTGTTCAAGTGGATCCCACTAAGAAGTGTATCACACTTCGGGGCAAATGTTGTGAAAAAGCACCATCATCATCAGTATTCATTGCCCTGGAAAGCCTACCTGAGCAAGAGTTTTGGCTGGGGACCACACTGTTTCTTTTCCCTGCTGGTCGTAGCAGCCAAAGTTTGTTGCAGGGTTTAAACCTTTTTTCCTTTCTCTTCTCTCCTTTTTTCTTCCCACTCAAAGGTAACTATGTCAGCTAAAGATCCTGCAAACACATCTTTCTGCATCCAAAATCTGTCTCAGTGTCCTTCGTATAACAGCATGGTCAACACACCGCAAGTTTCTCTTCCCTTTCACTTAGACAGAAAGGGGGTAAAATTCTGCTGATTCTGGCTCTGACCAGTGTTATTACGAGTGTTAATATCCTCAGTGTAGCAGCAGCTGGTTCAGACAGGCACATTCCAGTTACTGAAGCTGCAAATAAGCTACTAACTAATCCAAAGGAATTCTCAGAGTACATGCACTCATTTTTACTGCATTCTCACCCTTCTCCACCCCTGCTTTTCAAAAACAAAAAAATCCCTTCTGTAGTTCACACTCAGAAAGGAAGAACAGTAGCAGACAGCTATGCTATGAACAGACAAATTTATTATCCTTATTACCATTTCTTCTTGACTAGACAGTGTTCGAAAGTTTCATTTTGCTAATGTGACGCAAGGAAGAATCACCAAAATAAGCAGTGCTTCCCAAGCCGATGAACATCAGGGACAATAAAACAACACAGGCTTGAGTTATGCACACATTCATTAATTTCTAGGAAATTAAAGGACATCGGAATTGTCTGTACCTCTTTGCAAGCTTAAGAAAGATGCACTATACAGAGAACCTGAAGTTGGAGATAGTGCAGCCTTCCACAAATACTCTTTCATCCAACTTTGCAATGAAAATGAAGTTCATTTATCATCTGTGACAAATGCTCACTGTTTAAAATTTATTATCTGTGACGGAATTCCCTTCTTCTAAAAGGGATTTCTGGAGATTTGAATACTCTACTTGTGCATACAACAACTTCTGTAGTACAAGGACAGCACTATTTGCCTATCTCATCTCATCAACATGACATATTTCAACTGTGCAAAACCAATGCTCTTAAATTCAGTTTCTGTGGTATGTTTTCTCCCTCACAAGATGACATAGAGTAGATTTCTGGGCTAAAGAGCTCACCTGCACACACAGAAAGGAGCCCAAGTAATACCCTCCCCAGCTGCTCCCAGGACCATCACAGGAGACATCAGCCCATCCAAGGCCCACCTCCACGAGCTCAAAGGAGCACAGAGGCACAAAGGTGGAGGGAGCCTAAACTACAGACTCAGAAGGGACAGCCTGACCAGACCACACCCACAGCACATTTTGCACTAGTGGACAGCCACTCTCAGGGGAGAGGAATGCAGCTACTGGTGTTGTCTGCGCTCCTACTTCATGAGTCTGTGTTAACCTGCATACCTGGCGTGCACAGATGTGCTGCGTGCATGGGGACAGATGCGCAGCCTCTCCCTTCCTGGTCTGCTGGATTTGCCAAACCCCAGCATGAGAAACAGTGCACCTTTGTTCTCCAGGAGCATATATCATCAGCTCCTTTCAACCCTGCTAAGAAAGACTGCTCATGCACTGACACTCTTGCACTTGTCAGGTCTGCAAATACAAACTAATTAATCAGACTTTTTACAAGTAGCAAAATTTCCAAAGAAGTAATTACATAAAAAACAAAGCTCTTGGGAATCAAAATGCATGTGAATATTGAAATGTATTCAGAAGATCAGTCCAGTGTTTCTTTCTAGCTGCTGCAGGAGAGAAGGGTCAAAGTGCCAGTCGGCCTTTGCTGACTTTACCTCTACTGTGAGCAGACAGTACTTGGCACAGTGTGCACCAAGGGTATCCTGTGAAGTCGACTGCTGAGGAAAGTGCAACCCTTTTGCACATAACATCAGTAAGCTCACATAGCTCCTGCTGACTTCTGTATGGAAAATGCTAAGTTTGCTCAAAAAAAATGCTAAGATGAAACTTCAAGACTTGGGTACAAGAAAAAAACAATGATTCCGTCTTTTTCTAAGCTCATAGACTTTGTTCCTACACATTCCACATGCACAGCTGTTTTTGCCACTGTCTTCTACAGAGTAGTACCTGAATGTTTAAAAAGGGGTGATTTACAATGTATACAATTAAAAAAAGGCATTTGACTTCTGTCATCTTTTTATAAAACTTTCAATTATACAAATAATACTCTCTCTTCATTTTTGCACCAGGTAAAGTATACTTGATACATAAGGTGCAAAACCTCCATCCATACAAATCTAGATAAAAGCAAGAAGTGCATAATGAGGTCTAATGCCCACTCCTGGCAAGGCAGATGAACGGAGAGGCAACATGTTGTTTTATTTCTAATGCTGAGGGGAAGAAGGGAGACAGATTAAAACTAACATTTGAGTCTTTCTAATAATTTTTATTTTTCTAGGCCCATAATCACATTGGGAAAAGCTTGTTTTTAAGCATTTAAAGTGACAGTATTAAATGAACATTTAGCAAAGAAGAACATACATAACTAAGTACAATTGAATATCTATTTCTAAAACTACCAGAACACAATGTAAAGTTAGTTATTTAAGTTAACACAACAGTGAAATATTAATATTCCAACATCTTCCCTACAGGTACACAACAAGCAACATCTTAAAAATACATTTATAGAATTTCCTGATAGAACCGTATGAATGCTGCACACTACCCAAGCTATAAATTATTTCATGAAAATTTGAGTGCACAGTTTATTTTCCTCACTTGTATACTTACAGTAAACATCTAGAAACAGAAAACAAACATTGAGGTATTATTGAGCAAAGCAAGTGAAGAAAGCATAGCTCCTTGACTGAGATAACTGCCTTTACGGACGCCCATGGGGACACTGCAGGAAATGGTGCAGGAAATGGACCAACTGGAGGCAGCTAGCTGAGTCCCTGTGCAGCTCCCACATCGCTGATTTATCGTGCCTGTCTCTACATCTACCTGACACAAGCAAACTCATCTTTACCACTGCATCATGCTTAGCTCTTCACCTTGAGCCAGCCCTGACCTTCTGTCAAATGAAGAGGGATTCCCTATAGTACACCACCACCAGCAGGGATGCTCTGCCAGTGATTTCCTCAGCTGAACTGAACACATTTCAACAATGAAAACATTTCACCAGATACGGGCAATAAATCAGTTTTCAGAAGCCAGACTCAATACATTTGCTTTGTAAAACTTCCCTGCACATGTTATCAATCCATTGTTTCATGGATGTACATGTCCTGTGGAACATGACTGTACAGCACATACAGGTGATCTCAGATTTAAAAGGAAGACACCAGCAAACAGATTCTATGACTATCACAGAACTATCCACAGGAGTTCATGAGTGTCAGGTCTGTCATTTAACTAAACAGCAAACAGATGGTGCTTAACAAGCATGGTACACAACAAATGTAGAAAGGAAAAAGCACCTTAAGAGACACATATGTGTGTGTGGCTTAATGAAGGGTTGGTACACACTGAAGTTCCCAACTTCCTTCTACTTTTATGTTAGAAGTCTTAAGTTACAGCTCCGCTAATACAATCCATCCGGGTCATCATTATTAAATGAGTAATAACCAAAAAAGAAAAAAAACCCCTCACAACCAACTGGTAATCAGTAAGTATCACAAAAGAAGTAATATTAATCCTTCATTCTAAGGTGGGGGAAAATAAGGAAGAAAACAGGTATTTCAAGTTTAGCCTGCAGAATTCAAGTTATTTGATTGCCATGTTCAACTTTTAGTTACAATTCCTACAAAATCTGGCTAAACAACAGAAGAATACCTATCACTACAACAGTTATATTCTCGATGGAAAATCGTTATGAGAACATGCAAAGAGCAAATTCTATTGCTTTTTTTGTCTATGCACTAGAGGAAAGATACAACAGAATGTGAAGGCAGGCAGAGGGAACAACAATATTATTGAACAGAAAGAACCCAGAAGAAATTCATAGAAATACCTGAAATGGGTATTTAGGGTAAGGATACTGGTAAGTACTTTTGTTCAGTTGTCCATGCTTTATAATTCAGTGGGATATCTCAAGAAAAACAAATGACTAGGTATGAACTGTAATGCTGAATACATGGTCTGATCAGTATGGTGCCAGAGATCTCCCAAGATCTCTGGCAGCCCAGTGAGGTACAGCTTCTCATCAGGTACTTCCCTATCTTAATTCAAACTTCTTCAGAGTTTAGCTTCTTCATGTTTTAGTTTTTCCCCCAACTCTTAGGGGATAATATTGCTACCTTAGACCCGCTGCAATAGAAGAAACATCAAGAAGAGTGGGAGAAGCCTGTGGATACTGAGATGCCAAGCATTGCAAGGTTTATGCTCTTCTCACAACTGAGCAATTTTAAAAGATGTGTCAGACGTTACTTTCTCCTTAAAAATGTACATTTACCAGCAGTACTATAGCTAACACGAGAATACTCCAGGTTATAACCAAGTCACCTACAACTTGGGAAGTCATCTTTTATAAAGCACATACTTACAGGTCATATGAGAACTTCCTCTGAAGGTTAGTCTGGTTCTTCTGAAACCAGTAAACATCCAACTGCAGCTTTCCATATTCTGTCTGTAACTCTTTCAAGTGTTCTGATCAAAACAGGATTAAGATACATAGTAAAATACACCCAGACAAACATATACCTACATATACAACAGAAATCTCAGCAAATCAATACTGAGCACACTAAATTAATTCATTCATTTGTCATGCTAATTACATGTTGTATGCAAATGCATAGATGATTGTTGAATTTATTCAACAAGGATTCACAGGATTGGATAAGAACAGCCTTTCGGCAAAATATATTAGCAAAAACAGTGTAACATATCTTTTTACCTACTTTTCTTCATCAGGAATATTCTGATTTGCAAACCCTGCTAGGTTTCAGCCCAGAAAATCTTTAGGTCTATGAAATCATAATCAGAACACAGCAAGAAATGGTATTCATGTTTATCAGCATCTAAACACAAGCTTACAGTGCTTCCCTGAATAACGTGCAATTTACAGCTATATTCCTGAATAAGAAACAGAAATAACAGTGGCACCTGTGATTTAGAGTTTTCTTCCTGATAGAAAGCTCTGCATGAGGGCACCAGCAGGCGGCACCACAACATATTTACTTATTTATAGGGCTTAAAATCCATTTCCCAGACCTCCTGAGGAATACATTGCTAGTAACAATTGTGAAGCACCAACATGAATAGAAATGAATTAGACTGAGTTTTCTTATTTAATACAGGCATTTGTGAATTCCTCCAGAGCTAAAATGCGTGACCCAACACTCCAGGGAGAAACACAAGAATATGCTGCAAAAGGTAGAATAGAGTATAAATACATTAATCTAGTTTTATTCAGTATTACTTTATATAGTAAGAGTCAGAAATAGTACATGGTCAAATCCTTCTATAGTCAAGGTAGATTATTCTCACACTTCACTTAACTGGAACTATGCAGAAGAGGTATCTAAATCATTGCAGCTCCTGCACCACCCCCATGACTTGAAGAAAGGCAGCATTCTCAGACAACCCCAGAAACATGAAAGTCTTAAAAACAGAGGGCCTAAAAAACAGTACGAGAGAGATGCACAGGGGTATTACAACATACCTCGCAGATTCTGAATCAATCGATCATTTACTGTGATGTTACTCAGCAGTATTGCCTGAAAGAAGCAAAACAAAAAAGTGTTTTAATGGCAAAGGATTTGCATTACCATTAATATTAAAAACAACACCTATCAAAGCAAATGTAATGATCTGGTTTTTTTGTGAAGTGCTGCATTACAGTCAAACAAAAACTTTTAGCTGTTTTAGAGGTCTACTATTGCAAACAGCAAAGATTCACTTTAACCCAGATTCCCCACTAAAGGGGCCACGGGGTGGGGGGGGGTGGGTACGGGGAACATACCACTGCACAGATGCGAAGAGGAAGACTTTAAATGAAGTTAAAGATACTAAAATTGCTTTCTGCTTTATTGTACTTTAATCTCACAACTGCTACCACAGTCAGATTTACTGTAGTTATCTCTTGAAGGAAGAATACAGCATAGTACAGCTCACTATCAATTACTCTCTCACTCAGGAATCAATACACCTGCATTCAGGCATACAAAGATGAGCTATGAAAGCAATAATGATTGAGCATAAAGGAACTTCACAAGAGCAATGTGAAGCCCTTGCATTCTATGCCTTTTCTAACTATCCTCTCCACTGCTGTTATGCTGGAGTGGTCTTCTTCCACTCCCTCACTTTGCTCTCTCTCTCATTCTGAAAAGGCAGTCAACATAGGAACGTTTTGTCCATTCTTTCATCAATCTTCGTCATTTCATATACATACACACCCCAAAACACCTGAAAACTGACAGAACCAAGTCAAGACTAAATTAAATTAATTGCTGTGAGCAAGATATCATGATAACTCAAATTCATATTTAACATTTAGCAAGTGTGGTGCAGAAGAGTTCTTAAGACTACAAAAAAAATGAAATGCACCTATTCTTCAGAAACAATCCAGTTCAGTCTTAGGAAAATACTTCTTAGCCTTCAGTGCCAATTTCCTCATTATCCTTGTCCTGAGAAACCTCAGTGTTCATGCATCCCAGATCAGGATATACCAAGTCCCCAGTTTCACAAAGCTTCTGCTCTAGTACTGATGTGCACATATGTCCACACCACCCAACTGCAAAGAAACAGCAGCATCCGTTCTGTGCCCAAGTCACCCTGAAACACTGACAACACCATCAGTGCTTTTTCTCACACAGGTTACAGTAATAAGAGTTGATTAGCTGAAGTGCAGTGTTCAATCAATCTGAGTGGGCTAGGATCCAGCAGAAGGGGAGATTCGTCTTTGGCTGACCCTTTAAAGAGTCCCACTTCACAGAGGTAGTCATTCACCTGTTGCCAAGTATTTCTACACCGTTCTGTATGTACAGCTGGTATGTGAACACCACTGTAAAACCTCAAGAGCAAAGGTCTTGCTCCCTTGTTAAAAAGGAAAACTAAGTAACACTAATAACAGCATATACGTTTAACATATCTCCCTCTCCTTTCCCATAGGACAGGTAAATAAAAAATGGTTTATTGGGGAAAGGAAGCTAATGTTTCAGTGGAATTTCCAAGTTTTGCTAATGTATGAACAATGTAGCCAGGTTGTTCCGTGATTATTATCTCCAGGGTATACATCATTGGTTGTTACTAGAAACTGTCAAGACCAGAAAAATCAGTATAATATAGCAATTTTATGTTCCTACAGTTTGTTGTGGTTTGGGTTTTTTTTGTTTGTTGGTTTTGAGGGGTTTTTTTGTTTGGTTGGTTGAGGTTTTATTGCAGTGGAGCTCTGTTGGTTGTGGGTTTTTTTTTCTTAAAATGACACTCCCAAATACCAGGAGTGCTTATGTGGCAGCAAAACAGACAAGTGTCAAATATTTTGCACATTTGGACAATAGTAACTGTAAGTAGCTGAAGTGAGAAGAATTATTTGCCATGTACTTGCTCTTTGAATCACAACAGCGGAAAAAAAGCATGCCTTGGTCTTTCTGGATTGCATATAAAACTTTCTTTTGGCAATGCCACAGCTACCTCACTGAATGTGTGGGCAAGGGTCCAAGGAAAAACAATAACAAAAATCTGATTAGCTGTTTAACTTGAGCAGGAAATACTGTTTAATAATTTACAGAAACATATTGCAACTGCCAGCTTCCAATCTGACTGTCATTCCAGTGTTAAAGCAATCTTCTCGTCAAGGCTGTGAATTAAGCAAACATTTTTTTTCTCTTGGGTTTTTATGCAGTTCAAGAAAGAAAATTGCTGGCAAGCACTGACCAGACACATGCCAATACTCAGGTCTAGAAAGAAACTCACATTTTAAACTTCAATCAGCCCACGAAACAATAGCTACCATACCCAGAATTGAAAATCCAGCTTTTGGAAAATAACTGTATCACCATATCAAAATCCAATGTTCTGTAACAGAATTACTCCGAAACAGAGCCAGCTTGTTATATTTGCAAATATGTCTTGCACAGAAGTCCCTGTAACTGCCACAGAGACAGAAATCAGAATCCTAATTGAAGACAATGTTGTAGACAGCAGGTCTTCAGAAACCAAAAGTCAAGTGTCACACTTCCACCAGCAGTGAGGGAAAAATCTTGCTCCAACTGTATAGCAAATTTTTTAATGACAACTGAGATTTTGTCATTATTATTCACCATAGAACATGTCTGCATTAGTCATATTCCACTTAAGAAACACAAAGTTAAAATTACTGTTTTAAAAAAACCAAAAACATAACGCAGAAATACATGTGAGGGAGAATATTTTAAAACCTATGTTTTGAGCACATACTCTGGACTATTGTACATGCATTTGATCCAACTAACACCTTACACAGTATTCTCCATAAAAATATTCCTTGGAGGAATTACTACAATTACTCCTTCAGCATTTGCTGCAATCATAAATCAAGCTAACCCAAGTACACCAAACTGACACGTGCTTTCTAACACTGATTGTAGGTGCTGCATATAGAAGCATGATATATTGCAACAGGAGAAAGAATTAAAACAGCAAAGAACTTGATGAGTGTAAACACTAATTTTAAAACTAACACCTAAGAAAAAAAGGGCTTTGCATTTACAAATATAGCACAAAGGAGACAAAGGTGAGCCACAGGATCAGTAATTCAGCAGCTAAGAACAAAACCAACTGTGAATAAAGCAAGATGGGAGGCTAAGATTTATACACACAGAAACAGACATCTATAATTAATCAGGGAGAAGCAGAGTAAGATTAACTCAAACTGACTTAAATCCTTACTGCAAAGAAAAAGAGTAGACCTGTCTTGCATGGTCCCACTGCTCCCCACCACCATGCTGGCATCAGCATGAAAATAATGTTGGTAACACTCTGATGTTTTAGTTGTTGCCAAGTAGTGCTTACCCTGAGTCAAGAACTTTCCAGTTTCCCATGCTCTGCCAGTGAGCAGGTGCATAAGAAGCCAGGAGGGAGCACAGCCAGGACAGCTGGCCAAAGGGATAGATACTCAACACCACAGAATGTCATGTCCAGCACACAAACTGGGGAGGCTGTTCAGGAGGCACTGATCACTGCTGGAGGATGGGCTGGGCATTTGTCAGCTGGTGCTGAGCAACTGTACTGTGCATCTCTTGCTTCTCCTGGGTTTTATTCCTCTCTCTCCTTTTCATTACTATTGTTATTTGATTTTGATTCAGTTACTAAACTGTTCTTATCTCAAGCCACGTGTTTTCTTCAAAAATCTAGCAAGAGGTGTGGGGAACAAGTAACTGACTGCACGGTATTTAGTTGCCAGCTGGGGTTAAACCATGGCAACGAGCCACAACAAGGCTTTTTCATTCTAGGCCAAGAGATTAATGGCTAACTACGTATTAGTATGTGGGGACAAAAGTTCATAAATAAGATTCCTAAGAAATATTTCTCTTTTAGGTTGGTCTGTGTGCTGCACACTCATGTATACTTTAGTAGAGGCACATCATTTGAAGAAAGACTTAAAATAAATTTCAAGCCCAAACTGGAGGAGATATTGTTAATGTAAATCTATTTTTCACTGAATTGAATTCCATTCAAAAATTGCAGACTTTTTTTCATCCTTAAAAAACGTAAAAAAATCCCACCAAATCAATTTCCAAAATTGGTTCCAAAATTCCAAAAATTTCCAAACAATTATAAAACCCTGGCAAACAAACTAACAACCCACCCAGACAACAAAACCCAAACCCAAAAAGCCAGCTCTCTTCCTAAAAAGTGATCCTGGCAAAGGTCAGAGACTCAAACTTGTTTCACATCCTATGCTACAAGCAATCTAGACTCTCCTTTTTTGTCACCAAAGACATGTGCACCATGACATGGTACAGTTCAACCCTCAAAACTGCAGAAACCACCAAAATTGCAAGGTTAACAACTTCTTACACTCTCAGCAGAAGAGAGGGGAAACTAACACATATTAAAAAGAAATTACTTTTATGAGTGTAGTGCACCAGCAAGTGCATTGGAGAAAATAAGCCCTGTACACCTACAAGACTTTCAGGATAGGCAATAATAGGCAATGTAAGCTAAACAAAAACCTATGATATGAGAACCTTAACATAAAACTTGTACAAATATATCTAAGGTACCTTTTGCGTTTCTTTTTGTCCATTCATTTTGCCATGAAGAGGTAGAAACATTCCAGTAGTTAACTCTTAAACTACACATAATCTAAATTCCCACTCTAAGGGTGCCTACAGTGCAGCAAGTCTCAGATGATGATTTTGCTTCTCCCCACCTTGTGGAAGATACATTTTGAACAGAGGTGGTCTTCTAGACTTTTGCTGTACCAGTTATGAGTAATCAGACTGATTTCCCTTGCTAATTTAGTAAGATCATGCTATGGCAAGTATGGGACATTCCTCAAAGCCTTTCTAAAGCTAGAATATGCAAGATTATTTGGTTTGAAAAAAAAAAACAAACAAAAACCAAAACACACATAGGCACCTTTTCCTTTTCACAGAAGGTTTTCTTCTCACTCCCTGCTGACTACCATAATTCCTTCTGAGTAGAGCTGACTCCTTGCATACCAATAGGTATTTTTGTCTCAGAAGACTGTGCTGGGAATTGAAATTTTCCCAGAGGGAGGGGACTAGAGAGC